AGCGAAAAAAAAAATTTGGGGGTTAGGTGCACTTTAAGGTGTCTCGATACAATGTATCGTCAAAAAGGGTGACCTAGTGACTAGTATCGTAATCGAAATACTGTTCAATGCAAAAAAATATAATTTGAAGTGTTTTTTTCGATTTACTCGAGATCAAACAAATATAATTTTGGGATATTTTTTTGTACCATGCCATAGAAAATACAACCAGTCAGAATGCAGGAAAGTCGTATATTCGACGGTATTACATCCAGCCTTCCCATCATGCGCCGCGAGTATGTCACATTGATTGTGTTGACAACTCTATTTTCTATGGCGTGGTATAAAATAGTCACGCAACACTCTCTCGAGGTATACGTAAACAATAGCCTCTATTTGGCGCGAAAATATGCTAGGATATTTGTCCGCGGACATTATCTGTTCCGAGAAGCGAACAGTTTTGAGAGAGCGTAGCTCGCGGAAATCTGTGAGCTTCGAGGAACAGATAATGTCCAGGGACAAATATCCGAGCGTATTTTCGCCCCAAATGGAGGCTATTGCGTATATTATTCTTCAAATCTTTTTGCAACGCGCGCAGTTTTGAAAATTGGGGAATATCCTCGGATATTCCCTAGTTTTAGCTGGGGAATATTCGGTCACGTGACGCGTTTAGACCAATCGCGCGCGAGCGAAAATATTTGATGGATTATAACAAGGAATATTCCACTTGTCACTTGTATTTTCTTGAGTATACCAAGAAAAGTCAAGTGACTTGCGGGACATGTATAGGTAATAGCATGACTTGCAGTGGTATTTGGCAATAATACCGCCAGTGATATTTCAAAATTGCCCAAAATACCACGAGCCGTGAAGCGGTGAGTGGTATTTCGGTATGAGTGGTATTTGGGAATGAGTGGTATTTGGAATTTGGTATGAGTGGTATTTTGGTGAGTGGTATTTGGAAAATTTTGAAATATTACGATCCGGTATTATTGCCAAATACCACGTACAGGTCATGCTATTATTTGTTTATAATAGGAGCCGAGAAATTTTCGGTAACGCACAAGAGACCTTTATTTCGTTACGGTTGAAAAAACAAACACAGCGTCTGCATTCGTAACAATCTTTTTACGTTAATGAAAAAAAAAATGGACAGTATTTTGCAAAACCAGTACAAACCATCGTAGGCAAACAACATGAAATAGTTCAATGATAGTTGTTTTCAAATCACGGTTTTTGCAGTCACTGCAGTAGTGAAGCGAAACCGCAAATTAAGATAAGGTAGGGGCAAGCTTCTCCCAGTGTTTAATTGCTGCTTTGTTGAAAAACACCAACGCCAGCTCCGTAATTAATCGACACCGGACAGCCATGAAAGTGGTGGACTACTGTTTGGCAGGCTGGCGTCGCTGTACGGTTATATAGAATGGGCAAACTGGAAAGAACTGGACGGATATTCTGAACCTGTTGGCCGACAGGAGAGCTGATGATGGATGAGATCTGTCGCTGTTCTGCTTCGTCACCTTCCTCGTAGTCTGCCAGTGAACGCTCGCTTGCGTGGCCTGTTACACCGATGATAGCACTGCTTGGCTGATTCGAGGCCTTCAGCTTCTTCACAAGCGTTTTTCTTAACGAATGATTTGTTAACTTTCTTCCCTCTACATCCAATTCCGCTTCCAAGGCCATATTCTTCATGAAGGAGTCGATCTTATTGACACTCATCCTCTGTTTCTTGTACCACACTTCGGATTTCGGTTTTTCAATAATGACAAGATAAAACGGGCCACTCTTTCGCATTTCTTCAGGTCTGTGGACAAGATGTTTTAAAGAACTGGACTGGACAACGGGGACCACCAGTGACAAACATCTTTGGCTGGATGGCTCTTCGTTTCTTTCTTAGACCGCCTTGCCGGGTCTTCGTCAGGTTGGGTTTTCTTCGAATGTTACGTACCCCCGGGTACGAACTCTGTGCCTTGGTCGTCCTTATTCAAGCTGAAATCTTCGACAAACATTTCATGGTGCTCTTAGCAACCTCGAAGACCAAAACGAAGGGTGAGCAGATACCACAGAGTATAAAGAAGTGACTTTGGATTTTGTTCGCCAAGTACACGATTTTTCCATAGCTGCTCTTCATCTTGGACGGTAAGTGCTTTTGTTGCATTAGGTCGTTTTCCCTGGCCTTTTCCGCGTAGAGCTCTTGCTTTTCCCTCCCGGACCTGTCTGCACCTGACGAATTCTCGGTCCTTCGCTATGGATATTTTGCTGTCATTTTGTTTGAGGTGTCTGTCGAGGGCAGCTAACATCACCCTTAGGCTGTCCGGCTCATAGTCGGAGCCATCGCTTTTGCGAATTTCGGCAAAGAATCGCGAGAGGCATTCATCCAGTTCTTTAGCTTCGTACTTAACAATGTCGTCGTTAAGACCCTTGCTTTCTACCCCCGACTTCCAAACATTCATCCATGCCTTAGTGGTTTTGACTGTATTTTTGCTTACTGCTTTTTCGGCGAGCTTTTGTATTTCCTCACCGGAAATTTCCGGGAACCTTGCCGCCATCTTTTTTGAAGACAAAAGCAAAAACGTAATTGTGTTCAGTGATGCCATGGTAACCTTGTTATACCATTCATTTTTGCTGTTATACCACTATTACGCAGAAAATACTATCAACCAATCAAATCTCCGAAATTTCTCGGCTTATATTATAATCGATGTTTTTTAAAAAAACTGGATCATTGGATAATACAATTCGAGAGTTTTCATTGGCCTATGAGCCATTATACCATGCTCTACAAATATGGTAAGTGTAGGCGTGACTTCTTGGGGCGTTTTTATTTTCTATTTTAGTTTAGTTTGCCATAATTTGGGGTGTTTTTTAAAAAAACAGTTATTCCGGCCACTCGCGCTTGTTGGATATGAGATGATTATAGCCAAATCGGCGCGCACGCGCCTCTTTGGCTATCTACCATCTCTTATCCGTTGCGCCCTCGTGGAATAATTGTTAAGTATACCTTCGAAAACGTTGCACAATTAGTATATATTCTACTTGTCATACACCTTAATTAAAGACATTGCTCAGATTGGCTTTTTCATATCACATCTGATATCGCGTAAAATTCATGCTTTACTGATTTTCATTTTTTGATTATTGTTCCCATGGAAAAATAGACTGCCTAAAGAAATACACTACACTAAACCACAACCCATTTTCGATGACTGGTGTAATTTTCATATCGATCCGATTAAGGCAGTACCGTCAAAAAGCATATTGCATGAAAATGCAGCATGGCCCGGCAGAGAAAAGCTGTATTGAGACACCTTAATTTCCATGCGTTTATGTTACCCTTTGGGAATTAGATTTTTTCGCAAGTCTACTAGTTTTACTCTCATAATCCCGCATAATTTAATGGTCATACCTCTTACGCCTGAGTTATATGCTTGCAGAGGGCCCCTGATTAAACTGTTCACTGCAGTTGAATTAATGCCATCTTGATACTGATCACCCCAAGGTATTCCAATCAAAGTTATAGTGGTTACAAACTCCCTCTCTGATAATGATAAGTGTATATTGTTGCATAAACGAGACTTATTCACCCCTTCCCTTAATTATACATTTTTTTGTAAATAATTTGTTGGCGCGCTCTACTTGGTCAATAACTAAAGGGTAATCTTCGAAAATTCTCTCAAATTTTAGGTGAAGCTTCAGCTATCTGCAGCTCTCTTCGGTAATTTAGTACTAGATAATGAACTGTGACAGGGTACGAGT